CCAAAATGATCCTGGAATTGTGTGCTCTTAAGATATCCTGGTCCCGAATTTTCTGCTCGTCGTTTAAGGTAAAAAATTAAATAAATAATATGGCGTGCTGGCTTTACGTACAAGAGTAAAGTACGTTAAAAAAATTAGTTGCTCTACCGAATTCGGTACTAAAATGATCCTGGAATTATGTGCTCTTAACTGGTCCCGAATTTTGTGCGCAACATAATTCCAGGATCATTTTGGTACCGAATTCGGTAGAGCAACTAATTTTTTTAACGTACTTTACTCTTGTACGTAAAGCCAGCACGCCATATTATTTATTTAATTTTTTACCTTAAACGACGAGCAGAAAATTCAGGACCAGGATATCAGGAGTAGGGCAATAAATTGGCACATAAAAAGCACTAAATCCTCCGTGCATTTCATATGATTGTGCTCAGTTTGGCATTCTAGCTTAATAGACGTCGTTTCTTGCGTAAATTATAAAGCGTGTAATGTAACCCCGTGGGTAATTTGTCGATAGAATTACTTTTTTCAACGTGAAAGACGTGATTGTTATTCTAATGCTATTTCTTGCAATTTACTTTCAAACTGATGTAACTGTGTTATCTAAAGACATTTGTGGATGTGTTTTCTTTGACTTAGTCCCCGTGTAACTGTATGCGGTACGTATGTGCGGTATTGTAAAATGTTACTTGTTGTAACGAAAAAAGAAGAAGAGATTTTTGAAAAATCATCGCGAGTCGAAACGATATTTATTAATAACTAACTACTTTGTGAAAAGTAGACCGCAGGTACGTTTATAATAAGCATTTCGCCATCGAGCAGAAAATTTTCGTCTGTGGAGTTCAGATTTTCAGGTAAAGGAAGATTTCATAATCAATATCTAATAACAGTGATGGGTAAAATAAAAACTTTCGAAAACGACACATGCTTTTAGTTTACACACGTACGTAAGATAATAATAATTTTCGGTTGTTAATTGCTTATCGATTCTTAAACAAATTTAAGTTTAATATATGCATGTATAATATTTAGCGAGAGTTTGATCGCCGAGCTGTAATTTTTTACGTAATGGTGAGTAGGCCAAGACCGAAATTCTCTCATCAAACGAAATATAACGAGGTAAAATGAATTATCGCAATGCCCGTCACGTATCTCAACGTAACAATAGTAAGCATTACGATAATCTGACGAGACGGCCTATTACGTGCTCTGAATTTTTAGCAAGGAATGCTTGTGTAACGAATAAACACACCGATCATGCAACTGACGCATTAACGATAAGTTTCCCGAATGTCGTGATCTGTCACCGACATGTTACAAAAAAATCATGTCTATCATGTTTCAGAGAAGATGTAGGATAAATTTGATTAATTCTTAAGGTACACTTAATCCAAGAATATATTGTGTCATTGTGATAAAATGTTTATATAAGGGAAATGACGCCAACAAGAGATTAGACACGCTAGCGACATTTTAGTTTTACAATTAGTATTATATTCGTAAATGTTTTGAATGTCGCGATAAAGAATAGAACTTATTCACAATATATTAACGTACAACCGTGACTGATATTAAAGAACACTACGTTTTTCTTGAATTGTTAAAAAAATAGTGTTTTCGTACTTTATATACTTTCGCCAGTTTTGCTCGTGAAAGAGCGGCCAGAAGAGCGGTCGATTCTCAACTGCCGTTTTATTCCTTTTGAAACGATTAATCTTTACAATTCATTTATGGTATTATACCTACAAGCTTTCGTGAGCTTTCGTGCCTATAGTCTTACAATTAGCTGCAGATTTATTTAACGAAAGGAAACAAATTTCACATGCGCTCGCTGCTTTTTAACGTCGGACATTTTCATCTCACAAAAAGATATGAAATTGTAGAAAACTACAAGAACAGCTTTTGAATAACAACACGATGCCCTCGTGGAAGATTATTTCCCAATACTACAGATACTCGCGATATTTAGGGGAACAACCCTCGACTAGCTACGGTTTGCATGGAAAATTCAAATTCCGATAACATCCTGGGTAGCCCTTCGCACATGTGCGAGTTAATATTCAAGGAAAGACGCTGACATTGACACATATTCTGATTGATAATTCCAGGTGCACGCTTACAAGAGCCTGGAAAAATTTCATATGTCTCTCTATGTGTCGTATATTTTTTATGAGAAAAAAACAGAAATATTCGCGAATAAATAAAAAATAAATTTTTATATCGGCTCTAGTATATTACAATGGTATTCGAATTGAGTCTAGTCGTACAATTGTAAAAATGGCAGTGATAAGTATAAATTCGTTTTCTTATTGATATTCATTGCAATTATATGCGCAAAACTTTCACTCGGTACACCAAGGGCCACCGACTGGTAAAAATTTTAGTGATTGAGATAAACCGGTATTAAGGAATTTATCGTGAGTTTAAAAGAAATCGTTTCAAGGATGTAACATAAGGACAAAAAAACTATAGTCACGTTGTTTTTACTTAAAATTAAATTATAAATGATTATAAATCTAGGCTCGTGTTTACTTGAAATTAAATTAATAGCTGTCTATTAACGAGTCGGTTATACAGGATTAATTCTAAATAAATAAAACAAACGGGAAAGACCGGACTGGCAAAAAGTAATCTTTATTTTAATCATAACGTTTCGACCTCTTTATCGGGTCCTCTTATAAAGTATTGGGTTGATGAATAAGTTCGCCCGGTTTTTAAACAAAAAATTTCATACTAATTATATTTTGTCGACATACATTTAATCAGTGTTTCAAGACAATTAGTTTCAATCGAGGCCAAGGTTTCATGACTGCCAATTTTGAAGGGCCGTCCAGAACGTTTCTCATCAGCGAGATTAAAATTTTCATTACGAAATCGTCTGAACCAGTAAGGATAAATTCACATGACTCACAAACATCAATCGACGACAACAAATTTGACAGTAAAGTTTCCTTCCAATTGCTACTTTCAAATGTTTAATACGTCATATATGTGTGAAGTTGATAGCAGATCGAATTCGTATATAAAGTGCGCGAATGTTTGAAAATTTATTTCAAACCCAATATAATCTGGAAATAAATTATAGATGTTCAAACCGTAATACAAAGAAAAGTACTTTAAATGTGTACAAAGAAAGGAAAAAATCAATTTATGCCGAAACAGAATGAGTTCATGAGTCTGTAGCAGCAAATTCATAATATCATAGCTGAAATTATTAAGGGTAAAGATAAATTAATGAATTAATAAGTTAAGTGCAAGAGTCAAAAAACATGCCTCTGCGGTCAGTGAACTTTCAATAGCGATATCAATATTTTAAGTTTCTTTTAAGGTTTGAACATTTATAATTTATTTTCAGATTATACTTGAAAAGGGCTCGATAAAGATTTCGAAACGTTGTGATTTAAATAAAGATTACTTTTTGCCAGTCTCTGATCGACTTAAATTTTTCCTTTTGATCCCAATTAAAGTTTATTTGATGATCAAGTTGAGACAAAAACCTCAAAATCAATAATTTTGTAGTTACGACAGATTACTTTTCAGGTAGAGAATTTTACTCGTTTATATTCCGTTTGACGACAAAGATACTTACAATTAGAGATGGAGTATCTCAAAAGTGACGATATTACAAAAAGATGTTTTTCGCTCTCAGAAGTTGTGACAAAGAAATAAACTGTGAATTTTCAAGAAAATATATTAAGAATAAGAAAATATTTTAGAGATTTATGGAAAATTATTGATATTACATACAATTGCACGCGTGATTTGATTATAGTTTAAATTAAGTTAAGAAAAAGAAACTTTTCGATAACTCAAAAATCAAAATAAACTGTCCTAACATCCTTCTTTCTCAAGATAATAAATTTACTTGTCCTTAATAATCCACTATGGTTCTTCTGGGAGCCGAAACGCGGGACAAGCACGAGAGATCTGATCCAATATTTTGTGTAAAAAAAATCCGCTCACATATCTGAACTTTGAATTCAATTAGACATAAAATTTTCAATAGTATCCCTTGTGTATTAATATTATGAATAAATATATGAAAATAGTAATACTGGTAATGTTTCTACGTAATTAATTTCCATAACCCGTCCATTTTCTTACCTCCGTGTTTTGTTCTTATATCTTTCAAAGATGAAATATCGCTCGCAACAAAAAAATTATTTAAAACATAATCGCAGTCTATAGAGAATGTTTTACCGATGAAGACGGCGTGTAACCTATATATAGTGTAAGATATCAAAATTTAATTGACCGATTAAAACTAATTTTACGATTAGAAAATATATATGTATCGCGTATATTCTCTTATTTTGCTAGAGTTTGCGTAATTATTTGTCACGTATTTCACAGATTGTCGCAAGATTTGTGTACAAAAGAAAATATCATTACACTAAATTATACACATTAATTATAAAAAAATACACGCACATACAATTTCGGCAACCGCTGCACTATATACAAATTAATAATTTTGTTTTGAAATTTCAATATTATTCACGCAATTCATTTCTCCTACAAAAAGAGCGACATGGAGTTTCTTGCAACGTTTGCAATGGTTGCTATTTATATTTAATCTCGCCAAACTCTTGAAAAGAAGAATTTAGCAAGATTAAATATACAAAACGTGCAGGCTAAGGAATGGTTTCGAAGAAAATTATTATTTCGATCCTTCGCGTCTCATGCAGATTTATCGAATTTCCATTAGGCATTTCTCGTATCGAATCTGTTAGCAAGATACATAGATATGATATATAAACGACAAACCTACCCATCTTCGTTGTCGTTAAGTAATATTATGTATAGGTTAATGTGATATTATCAAAAAGCATTGCTATACGTTAGATGAGACGAAGCGTTAACGGACATGAATTCGATATCGCATAAAAAGTGCGAAAGTAAATTCAGACAGATATGCCATTCCTTTTTTTCTTGCAGAATTAAATTCTTGGAATTAATTTGAAATACCTTTTTCTTCTCCTCACGACCTTCGTTATCGCATGCATCTTGTGGACACATACAATGGCGCGTTTAAAAACAAACAACACACCGACCTCGATGTAGGTATATATGACGGGGGAACTTCGAATGCGGTTCTCTATTATCGCGCGTTCCGCTCGCGAGACAGCCACGCTTAATAGCCAATTGCCATTTGGATGTATCGGGCATGGTGCCGAGACATTTTTACCTTCTCAGTGCTATCGCTGCAATTGTCCCGTTGCAGTCGGGCGGACAATTGTCGCCGGAAAAGTCCCGCAGTGTTTACGGCGATGGCGTGAGCGGACACGAATTGACTAATATATTTGGGCTGGGTATCGGAGCCTTGAATTTCCTACAGCAAGGTCAACGTGATACGAACCAGCAGATACCGGACGCAGTTCCGGAGTTCGGAGCCGTGTACGATTTCGTGGTGATTGGCGCGGGCACGGCCGGTGCCACGACAGCTGCGAGGCTTAGCGAGATCCGTGAGGTCGAGGTGTTGCTGATCGAAGCTGGATCTGATGAGAATTTGCTCATGGACATCCCGATTCTCGCTCACATGTTGCAGCTAAGCAACGATATCAATTGGAAGTACCGAACGAAATCGTCCGACCGATACTGCCTCGGCATGACCAACAACAGGTGCAACTGCCCTAGAGGCAAAGTGATGGGTGGCAGTAGTGTGCTGAACTACATGATCGCAACAAGAGGCGGGGCCGAGGATTACGACCGATGGGCTGAGATGGGTAACGAGGGCTGGGCTTACAAGGACGTACTCGAATACTTTAAAAAACTGGAAACGATCGACATCCCAGAGTTGCAATCGGACGCTACTTACCATGGAAGTAAGGGACCGTTGCACATCTCTTATCCGGTATTCCGCACACCATTGGCAGAGGCCTTCCTAGAAGCTGGCAAGGAGCTGGAATACCCGCTGTTAGATTACAACGGGAAGAATATGATAGGGTTCTCGTATTTGCAGAGCACGATCGCAAATGGCAGCCGTCTAAGCAGCAATAGAGCCTACCTACAGCCTGCGAGAGATCGCCAAAATCTTCACGTGACACGCAAGAGCACGGTGAGAAAAGTACTGATTGATCGTCGCACGAATCGGGCGATCGGTGTGGAGTTTGTTAAACATGGTCGAATTATTCACGTGTTTGTGAGGAAGGAAGTGATTTTGTGCGCGGGTGCTATTGGATCACCTCAATTACTGATGCTTTCTGGCATCGGACCAGTCAAACAACTAAAGGAGCTCGGCATAAGCGTTATCCGGGACTTGCCGGTTGGCGAAAATCTGATGGATCACGTAGGATTTGGCGGGTTAACGTGGACGGTTAACGACCCGATAAGCTTGAAATTGTTGAACCTCATAAATCCTGCTTTTCCGTATATACGGGACTACATGTTGAAGCGATCGGGACCACTTACGGTTCCGGGTGCGTGCGAAGCTCTCGCTTTCATCGACACCAAAGATCCAGAGAAACGTAACGGCTTACCGGACATCGAACTGCTATTTATCGGTGGTGCATTTAAAGGAGATGTTATTTTTCCGATTGTAATGGGTTTCAATGATCAAATGAGTCAGATATGGAATAAATACATCAACAATTACGGCTGGACTATAATACCGATGCTGCTGAGACCAAAGAGTCGTGGTCGGATAAGATTGCTGGCCAACGACGTTAACGTCAAGCCTGAGATTGTGCCGAATTACTTTGACGATCCGGAAGATGTCGAGACAATGATTGCCGGCATTAAAGCTGCAATAAGTGTCGGTCAGACGAAAGCGATGCAGACGTTCGATTCACGATTGTCGAACGATACTTTTCCCGGATGCGAAAAGTACGATTATGATTCTCATGCTTATTGGGAGTGCGCAGTAAGGACGGCGTCTATCACTATCTATCACTTTTCCGGTACATGCAAGATGGGACCGAGAGGAGACCCGACTGCTGTCGTCGACCCTAGATTAAAGGTATTTATCAAAAGATGCACTATAGAGTACTTGTCTCCAAGTTTATGTACTTGTAACGAATATTCTTGCGTGATGTAAGCATGACACACGCACACATCGATTTATAATTTACGAATTTTCACATACAACATAGGTGATCGGCGTTAAAGGATTGCGAGTAGCAGACAGTTCTATCATGCCGGATATTGTATCGGCTCACATCAACATGCCTATTTATATGATCGCCGAGAAGCTGGCCGATATGATCAAGGAAGAGTGGGGGTACTTGGCCAAGTCACGAACGTGACGGTACTGCATTGAGTAATAAAGGGCATTCGACTGGTAAAAATTTTATTGGACATTAACAGTTTGCAGTGTATGACAAAAGTGAAAGTTAAATAAGTTATCAGGGGGGGGGGGGTTTAATTTTTATTTTATAAATTATCGTTACAGCAATTAATATTTATTTGTGTGGACTTGCTTTAGATTTAATAATACCTTTTAGGCACTCTAACATATTTTTAGTTTAGAATTAAGAATCAAACTAGCGTTTAAACTTATGTTTCGTTCCTGAGATATTCTAAATTATGTGACGAGCGTTTGCCGTAATACGTTATATATTTATTTTGTCGTTTGATATATTCTTCATCTGGCCTCATTTCAATTTTTGCTCATCAAATTACTAAATGGGATATATGTGGTGAGATCTTGCCAAAGGGCATTATTATGTATACGATTTTTATCACCCTCTCACAAACACACGTTATGCATAACACATAAATATTTATGTCATCCGCGACTGCTCGTATGCTGAAAGGTGCGTTAAAAAGCTTATTAATTATTATTCATTCATACTATAAAGACTGCTTCATTTACCTTAAGAATATGTCACACGTTTTTAAAAACCCTCATATTCTTGTCTACATGCTAACAGTGTGTACGTTTCGCAAATATCTTAAACATATTAATGCGTTTTGCTGTTTATCATACAATTCGTTTAAGGCCCAAACACACGAAAAAACTTAACGGGTTACACCAGTCTAGACAGTCTTGCGCAAGAGTAATTTCGGGAAATTTTTTTACATGTAAAACAAAGTTTAAGATAAAAACTAATTTTATGGCTTTATTATACATATATTGTAGTATGCAAATTAATTTTTTTCGTGCATTTATCATTAAAAATGGCAGTGTGAGGGTCCGGTCACTGGATGGCTGCTCTGCGAGAGGTGCTCCGGGGCTTGTAGCATAACGTCCACAAATTTTATCCTAGAACAAAAACCAAAAATTTCCTTATTTTTTATGAAAATAGCTAGAGAAATACGTAGCGAATTTTTAAAATGACGGTTGGTTTGGAAATGGCAAGCCTATGAAAAAAAGTCAATTTTTTGGCCAAAAATTGTCGTATAGAATTTTTTATAAAAAGAAAAGTTTTAAACATATCGAAAAACGGCTACGTACTTCTGTGCAGAATTTAGTTAGTCCCAATTTGCCGCAAACTTGAAGTGATTTGGATGAAAATTGTTTGAGTTATGCTGCAAGCCAATTTGAAAAAAGCTGTTCTGAGAAAAACGCGTTTAAAGTTTCAAGTAACATTTTTTTTAACATAATGCACAAATTTTTGAATTTTAACCCAACGTACCTTTAGTCTACTATGCCTGCACCATAAAGCTGTCCTTCTAGGTTTAAATCTTCATCCTCTTTTTCTTTTCTGGCTGATTTTAATGATTGTCGGGCCTCCCTCGCAGCATAAAAGCGCAACACTTCACAATGCCATTGAAACCAATTCCTAATAAACGCATTGCTAATATAATTCGGCGATTAATTTCGTATCCTTTATCAATAAATGGACTGTTCGGAATACAAATGTTTTCACCTTTTTCACAAGAAATAACGATTTTAAACCCCAGGCCACGTTTAGCCGTCTCGGTGAACGACACATTTGTCCCGCACTTTTTACATACAACATTATCCGAAATAACAGAGAAAACAGCCACGAAATTAATTAAATGATAACCGAACGATTGATTTACTTCAATGTCGTCGTTGTCCGCAGGCATTTTCAGCTTCTTGGCGGAGGTGCTCATTATCCGAACAGCCTTCCGCTTCATACCGGTTCATCGGCCGATGATGAGTCTTTAAGACCAAGTATACCTTATTCTTAAAACTATAAAGTACACTTTTAGCGAAAAAAAATTTTGCATTTTTGGAAAATTCTAGACTGGTGTAACCCCTTAAGCAGTAAAACTTAAAACTTAAGAATTTCAACCAATTGGAATTTTCAGCATTGCTTAAGTTTCAAAATGGCTGCTTACGTTCTCGACAGTCATTGATCATTTCCCTGAAGTCTTAAGTTCTACTGCTTAAGTTTTCTCGTGTGCTCGGACCTTTAGTGTAATAAATTTTTTTCGAAGACACTAAACTTAAAATTGTTGTCCTCTTAAAATACTTGGATAAATTTTCGTCTTTATATTCCTGTGCATTAAAATTACTTGCAATATAGATACAATAATTTACAAATATTTCCAGTCGTTAATTATTTGTTGCTGGATTTTCTCTTCTTGTCATTAATTTTTTCACATTCATAGTAATGTATTCACAGTATTTTTCCCGTTAATAATTAGCTTCTTTGTGAGAGTCCCTAGTGATGACAACTCGTCGAGAAAATTCAATTTAATTTTATATTTTCAACTACACCAAAAAACATACTTTAATAATTATTAATATACCCTAAGTTTGAACTCGATTTCTTTGTCAAAAATATATAAATGTTAATATAAATTCGTGATATTAAATAGTAATGTACGTGACTGTATAGTAAAAATATCATCAATTCTTATAAAATTATATACTGGTCAAAAAAATTAACGCAACAAGAAATTTACATCAAAATTTGGCGAATTTCAAATAAGCGTAACTTCGCGAAAACTGGTCGAATGGAAAAGTTTTTTTTCATTTTATAGGGCAAAGCCTCTGCTTTAAGAAGCTCTTATTGGAATTTGTATTCACTCTTCCCATTTCCCGGAACTTTCTCAAAATCATGACCATGTTTTTTCTCTAAAAAATTGCACACTTTGACGCACTGTGCGGAGTGTAGTAATTTTTCTTCGCCAGTTCTGCTTACGGTATCAAAAAGTGTATACTTTTCTCTTCAATTAAAAAAAAAAGAAGTTCCTACGATTTTTTTCACCAAATCACAGCTCATTGAAATAACCCTTGTGTTTTCGACATTACCGACGATATCTCCGTTAAAAATCATCGTAGCAAGATCGTTTTTTTTTAATTAAAGCTTGCACTCTCAGCTTCAAAACTAGTCACCAGA